ATATATAGTAAATAATGCAGTAAAAGCAGAAAACCAAACCCATGTTACACATAGAGTAACGTCAAGTAAGCATGTAATGCTCAGATAGACTGCAGTAAAGATTTGTTTTCTTTTCTTTCTACTGTCTGGCTCTCTTAAAGAGGTGGCAAGTTAAAAAAGTTATTGTCTAGTCTGGTGAGGGATGTGTTGTTTACACAGTCAGTACGTTTTCTCTCTGTCAAATAGAAACTCCTGGCCAGCAGTCCGTAAGGCAGCAGGCTGATGAGGATTCCTTCTATGACCACAACTCCTCAAATCTGTTCAATGAGCCAGATCAACTTCATATGTGTTCAACTCCCGGTAACCCCTTTGATGAGCCCAACCAGGACGTAAATGCTCAGCTTGAACAAGAGCCTCTCAAACCCAGGCAGAAAAAAGGAGTACGGCCTGTTGACATGAGCAAGTACTTGTATGCTGACGCATCTCACAACGAGGAGGAGGAGCTAGATGAGTAAGACTATTTTTTTTAAATTAATTAGTCAGTTTGTTTTCCTATTAAAATAAAAAATAAAAAGGTTTGTGTCACTTTGTGAAGCTCTAGATTACTTATGCATCTTTTCTATTAGTACTGGTACAGCACGGTTCGACTCGGCTCGGCACGGTTCCAAGGCTTTTCCACTATCAATTATTCGTGGAACCAGCCCCTTTTTCAGGACCCACTTCTCTGCAGTTCCAAGTGTACCAAGCTGGCCTTAAAACGTGACTTCAGAACACTGTTGGTCACTGATTGGTTAGGGGGTGGAGTCATTGGTTGTTTAAGAAACTTTCACAACAACCTGATCTGCCATTTGCAATAACTCGAACTCGGAGGTGCGACTGGACCTATTTTGGAGATTTTAAAAACAATAATGACAACACCGTGGTCTAATGCTGAAGTGCAGGCATTTTTATGCTTGGTGGCCAATGACAAAATTCAGAGCGAGCTAGATGGAGCGACTCACAACGAAAGTGTTTTAAGAGGTGAAGTCTGAAGACTTCAGAGAAACAATTAATTGCTTAATACCCAGTAGTTCATAACTGTACTTCACAAAGTCATTCCAGAAATTATGACAGCTTGTAAAGATTCACAGAGAGCTAAAATATACAAATTTTTATGAAGTCAGCACAAAACTTTATGATGTAAGGCCAAATTAACAATATTTTCAAATCTACAGCTGCTTGTAAAAGCTAAGTTTCTGGCGATGATTGTCATAACAGAAGTCAAGATACAACAGCTTACTCCAAAGTGGAACAAACCAGTTCTGCTTGTAATAAGTCTCTTTGGTGTTTGATGTTGGGGGAAGAATCAGTTTTGTTGTGTGTTTCCTTGACTGATGAAGCCTTATGGATCGAAGGCGAAACGATTCAGCACAAAAAAAAAAAAAAAGTCCAGATGACCTGACTGAAAAATGTTGGATTGTATACCTGGATTATTGAGCATGGACTTTTTTGTTAAAAGTCAAGATATTTTAATACATCTTTATTGTCAACAGCTGTACTTAAATGGTTCATATATGGGTTTAGGGCACCAGGAACCTGAACCAGGAACAAATAACATCCCACCACTGACAGGCTCTGTTAAGCACCCAGACTGTAGGTCTGCTGCAATTATTTTGCTGGAGATTCATCTGAAACACACACACACACAGCATATGTATTACTAAACAGTATTTAATCAAAATTTTCATACCTTTATGCTAGGTTCTTTTCATATGTATAGCCCACTATAGCAGATTAGCATTAGCTTAACATCCACGTTGTCTAGCTCGCATATTTATGGCTTCCCATACTCTCCTGTACTTCTCCAGAGTCTTTTGCCTTGCTGCCCTTTCTCGTGTCTCTTCTCTTTGACGTCTGCAAAAAGCCACAGACTGAGCAGAATGTTAAACAAAGTTACGATATCTTCCATTTTGTTATGTATCTTTTCAGGGTCTTCTTCTTTTAATATGATTAATGGTGGCTAGTAAATAGCTTAATGGAACACTACTGCCACCAGCTGGTAAGGCGCGTGGCAGCAATGTTTGGGTGCAAATCTCAGTGTCTGGCGATTCGATTCAATTACAATTTTTTGGGTCATCATTCGATTCGAAATCGATTTTTTGATTCAGGAATGATTTTTTGATTGAAATAGTCATGCATTTTCTAAAATAGTTAAGTCAGGGCCTCTGGACGTTCAAAAAACAAGCATACAGAAATTGTAGAAACGTTCCGTCTTTCATCCGAAACACTTCTTCATTTGAGGTGCTTTATTCAACTCAGTCTTAAAAATAGCACCTTCTCATAGTGGATCAACCAGTTTGCTGCTGACAGCCAAAACTAGCTGTTCACATGATCAAGAAGGACCATCAGCATAACAATGGATCGGTAGCACTCTGATGGTTGCTTGCTATTCACAGGGGGCTGAGTGATACTAGCAATAACAGCATTGAGTTCTAGAATAGCACCGCTCAAGGTGGCTACATCTTGAAGTAGCTGTTACTTTCATTCTGAGATTTTGCTTTTGGAAACTTTAATTCCTGTTTTTCTGGATGTAAATCACATTTTTTTGGATGATTGTTTCCTCTGGTATCAGTTGCTGTACAGCTGGAAGGATTTTTACTGAAACTTTTTTAGTTTTGAATATTTGTTATGATGCGTAATCATGGCAACAAGGCAGTTTTCTACGACCAACAGCAGCTGATTAACATCTCAAAAGCTCAAATAATATTTCAACTATAGCCCCAAATCTCAAATGAGTTGAAAAGGATGCTCTTTGGACGCATTCTCATCTGCCTGCCAGCTGTGCTCGAGTGCCTGACCACTGAGATCCTGGAACTAGCAGGAAACATGGCTCATGACAGCGGAAGGACAGGATCGTCCCTCGGCACCTACAGTTGGCTGTCCGGAGTGACGAGGAGCTCAGCAGACTGCTGGGAGGAGTGGCCATCGCTCTGGGAGGAGTTCTGCCCGGCATTTGGGCGGTCCTACAGTCCAGGGGAACCGAGAGAGGCCAGCCGAGTCTGGGTGGACGGATCGGACGGCATCTGCAGCCAGTTTCTTAGGATCCACTGCGGGATGGACCTTTACAAGAGATCCTTCCTGCCTACAGCCATCAGTATCTATAACACCTCTTAATGAAATGAGGATAATAAGTTACAACAACAAATAATTTCCCTTTAGGATTAATAAAGTACTTTTGAATTGAATTGAATTGTAAGAGGGGGACAGTTGAACACGTAGGCCTCCTCCTCTGTTTAATGATGGGCAGTTTCTTTTCACAAAGATAGCCTCCTTTACTCCTCTCTCAAACCATCGTTCCTCTCTATGAAGGATGTGAACATCTTCATCCCTAAAGAGTGACCACTGGCCTGGAGATGAGTGTAGACCACAGAGTCCTGGCCTGATGATGTTGCTCTTCTGTGCTGCTGCATCATCTTTTTGGCCAGTGGCTGTTTAGTTTCACCAATGTAAGATTGATCACAGTCTTCCTGACGCTGAACAGCATATACAATATTACTCTGTGCCGGGGAACTAGATCTTTGGGATGAACCAGTCTTTGCCGTAATGCATTTTGGGGTTTAAAAGCCACTGGGACATTGTGTCTAGAAAATAAACGTCTCATTTTCTCTGATATTCCCGCAATATACGGAATGACCACTGGTCTTGGTCTGGGTTCCACCTTTTCACCTGACGGCTGGCTGAAGTCCTGCTTGGGTTTCTTCTCTGCTTGCTGGAAGGCCCAGTTAGGATATCCACATTGCTCTAGAGCCTGTCTTGTGTGGGATTTCTCCTTCTGCCTGGCTACTGAGTTAGTGGGGACACTGTCTGCTCTGTTGTACAGAGTCCTGATGACTCCTAACTTGTTTTCCAGAGGGTGATGGGAGTCAAACTGCAAATACTGGTCTGTGTAGGTGGGTTTGTGGTACACCTCAGTTTGCAAATATCCTCCATCAGAAACTGAGACTTCACAGTCCAAGAAAGCTAACCTGCCATTTTTTACATCTTCTCGTATGAACTTTATATATTTATCCACAGAGTTGATGTGATCAGTGAATTGTTGGACTTCCTGAGGTTTAATTTTAACTCGGATATCATCAACATATCTGAACCCATGACTTGGTGGTGTCCTTGAAAAGGACGTCAATGCGCTCTTTTCTACCTCCTCCATACACAGGTTGGCAACAATAGGAAAAACTGGAGACCCCATAGCACACCCATGTTTCTGCCTATAATACTGGCCCCCATATTTGAAGTAGGTTGACTGCAGGCACAGTTTCAAGAGTTGACATAGTTACTCTGTGGAAAGTGTGGTCCTGCTGCTCAGAGTGGTGTCTGATTTTAACCTTAAACAGACCCCCTCTACTGCCTAAACAACAGGAATGCATGTAAAGAGTCACGTGACATCAAAAGAGACCATTGTTTCATCAGTCTCCATGATGACATCCCTCACCTTATCCACAGAGTCCATGGTGTTCTGTATGTGGTGTTCTGAGCTGCCAACTAAAGGGATGAGTACAGATGCCAGATATTTGGAAACATTGTAAGTGACTGAGTTAATCATGCTGACAATAGGTCTTAAAGGTACACCTTGTTTGTGGATTTTAGGTAAACCATACAGACTAGGTGTACCCACACCCGGGTACAGTCTGTGGTACAGAATACGGTCAATAGCCTTGTCCTGCTCCAAATTTTTCAGGCAATCTATCAATTTCTTCTTGTAACCACTTCCTGGATCTCTTTTCGGCAGCTCATAAGTGGTTAAGTCACTAAGGCGTGTCAACTTTCTCATGATAGTCTTTCTGGTTCAAAATCACTGTGCACCATCCTTTGTCTGCTGGGAGAATGACAATGTTTTTGTCCTTGCTAAGAGTGGTGAGCGCATCCCTGTCCTCTCTACTGATGTTGGAAGATAGTGGTTTGACATTGCTGCGGCAGGATGAAACTTTGATTCTGATTTGTTCTGAGTTGTTCTGCTTCTTGTGTTCAGAAGTGTTCAAATTCACAAACAAGGTGCACCTTTAAAACCAATTGTTAGCATGATTAACTCTGTCACTTACAATGTTTCCAAATATCTGGCGTTTGTACTCATCCCTTTTCTGTGTTCTAGAATTGCAAGGTGGCTGCATGTTGGAGCAGCTCTGTTATTTTCATTCTGAGATTTTGCTTTTGGAAACTTTAATTCCTCTTTTTCTGGATGTAAGTCACATTGTTTGGCTGATTCTTTCCTCTGGTATCAGATGCTGTGCAGCTGGAAGGATTTTTACTGAAACATTTTTGTTTTGGACATTTGTTATGCTGTGTAACCATGACAACAAGGCAGTTTTCTACAATCAACAGCAGCTGATTAACATCTCAAAAGCTCAAATAATGTCTCAGCTACAGCCCCAAATCTTAATGAGTTGAAAGGATGTTCTGTGGACGCATTCTCATCTACCTGCCAGCTGTGCTCGAGTGCCTGACCACTGAGATCCTGGAACTAGCAGGAAACACGAC